ATAGTGGCATTGTAGATACAGAACTAATACATGGAAAATGCTCTTTGGATAATTATTATTATTATTGGATATTTATATAGCGCACATATCCACGCACTAGTATAGGATAAGTATGATGCACTTATATTTATTTCTTACGTAATGTTGGTACAATAGCTCAAACACAGCTAATTCGAAGTACGAAGTGTATTTATTTCAATCGAACATGTGTGCATACCCGTTCTGCCTGATGGACTATAATTTCGATGTATAGCTACAACAACACACATTTTGTGCATACTACTCAGTCTGAAAAACAACGTTAATCTAAAAATGAGAAATTTAAACATACAAGCGAAACATTACTTTTCATGCCCATAATAAGTATCTTCAAACAATGTCAATTGTATGATTCCAACTTGGCCATTAATTATAACGAATATTCAATTAAATGTTTTGGTGCATTCAACGAAATTTCTCTCCGGAATCATTCTGAGGGTCTTGGTGAGTGTCGCCAATCGTGCATCGATCCTTTTAATAGTTTGTGCAAATATAACGTGCCGTGGTTAAAAAACTCGATCAATCGATTTCGTAGAGACATTCCCAATGTCATAGAATCTAGTACTCGATATTCTGATGTATGATGGCCGACAATAGGCGATTTACACACTGGTGTTCTATAATTGCCTGTGTCTTCGCTGTTCTCAGAAGGACTTCTTCAGCACAAGGCAGACTCTTCCTGTACCTTTATCAAGTGTGTGTTGGTAGTGCAACTGGCTATCTGGAGAAGACAATGTATTGAGATATTAGTGAAGAATTTTCAACTGTTGACTTTAATAATTTTAAACTTACTTTGTTTTTCATTATCATGGTAATGGTGGTAGGGAGGGTAGTCTGGATGTTAAAGCGTGCGCTCGCCATACCGAAGACCCAGATTCCTTACATGGATACGATGTAAAGAGCAGTTCTGTTGTCCCACGTCGTGATATTGGGGGTATATTGCTGATTCGGCGTTCGTTTATACTCACTCACTCATGACTATTATAATGCAAGCCTACATTACTTAATAATTGTAATAATTATTACACATATTGCTATCTGTGTGAATTTGTTATGTAATATATCAGTGCCAAGATAAGACATATACTACCCATCAAAAGTTTAGACTCACTTAAAGCACTCACTATATGTTATATATATATATATATATATGGTTACATCGAAGATGAATGTCTCCACTAACTTGGGGAACCAACTGCAAACTTTATGCAGGTGAATTGCATAAAGATCATGCATCAAATTGCTAAGAAGCATGTGCAAATATCGTGCATGTGAACAGCTGCGTTTCGGTGTAAAGTTTTATTAAGAAGTTGCCAATTTGCACTGATTTTCACCATTTACTGAACTCATGACAATAATCTTTTCAACGTTACGACTTTGTTTTACAATACATCAGTTCATGTGTAAACATGACCTTTAAACAGAATGGAATATTTTGCAAAATCTAGATTAGAACAGTCGACTGAAGTTGGGTAGTATATATTCCCATAGATATGATATGTCAGACAGCTAGGGCAGGACAGGGGTGTCTGCACTGATGCTGCTTACAGCGCCGTTCATATAATTGTTACCACTTTTTTGCCTTTAACGCCCAATGGAATGTGTCGGCAAATGATCCAGGAATTTCTTCTTTTTTTTAAATTTGTTATTCTGTGGCGTTACCCATATATTTGACATATATAGATCCGTGATTTAGATTCTCTAGAATTCCGAATATTCACATTGTATTGTCTTTAAATTCCCAACGTTGTACATGAGTGTACTGAAACTAAAATTAGATGAAGCATTTCATTGTTTCATCATTTAAAAACAGAAATATGCTTTACATATACACGATAAAAACGAAACAGCTGACAGCTTAGGAAGACAAAACCAAGTTTCAATTATCAGATAAGAATCAAAATTAGGTTTGTCGTTCACGGAACCTTTGATTGTTTTTAGTTTTCAATTGATGCATTGCTTCGTAATTATTGCTTATGAATTTCCCCACGGCTCGCATTTGGAGCAAATACAATACACCATACCATGTACATCAGTGCATGCTGTTTGTGGGCGTAATGTATTATCAACGTCAGACAAGTCCAGAGTCTTGAAAAGACCAAGACAAACGATGAGTCGTTTATATCAGTTTCATCCCTGGGGAAGACATCTTAATATTTGATAGCGGAAACGTTCCATGTCTTACCCAAAAACGTATCATTAAGAGTAGATCTACATGTCATTTCGTTTGTCCATGTGCACAGTAAATTCCTGTTGCTTTACTATCTGGCATACTAAGTATTTCAAAATGTTTCGCGTTACGCATTGTTTGGAATGCGCCAGTTAAACCTGCTCATGAATTATTCATATACCTGCAACAATGCTATCCGATACCAATCTAACGATCTTTGTCTCCAAAATACCACCCACGAATATACATACACGGTTTATAATGATAAGTTTGGCACATCGGTGGGACGTGTGTTCGTATTGGAAACGATACAAAAAAGATGGCAGCTGGGAGGGGCAGCATGTCGAACATGTTAGATTATGACTTCAGTAAATCATGGAAGAGGCTTAAGTTCCGTCAGTTCTAACAAGAACGGCGGCTCCGACATCAACGGCAGCCTCTGCACTTTGCTGATATATAGTTTGCTTTGTACAAGTTCGTTTTTATTTGTATGAAAATAACCATATCGAACATTAAAATATTTTCTTCTGCAATACGAATTACAGGGAATGTTGTATTGTATGGTTACAAAATTGTCATCATGGACATTTTGTGAATAGAGTGAGCTTGGCTCTCGCGTCTTGGCTTCACTTTTTCAAACGAAGCAGCTGGATCAAAATGCATCGGAGATTATATTTTACTTTTTGAAGAGAAAAATTTAGAACTTTACTGCCATTTGAAAACATTTGGTATTATGGTTTGTCCTATAATTTTGTTGTTTAACGCCGCACTCAGCTATATAGATCTGAGTAATGGGGGTATTAAAACATTGATATACGAGAAAACGTACAATGTTTTAGAATGGCAACCTGACTTATAAGTTTGACTATATGAAAACATTGATATACGAATTGATATTTATATCGGAATCTTAGACCTATAATAGCAGTCTGCCATAAGACTTGAGTGAGAGAAGAAACCTGACGATTATCACGTGCAGGGCACAAATGTATCACATTTGATGGAATCATCATCAAATTAATTATGGCTGGTTTTATAAGGACGGAAATATATTTGATTGTGGATAAAGTCAAGTGTCATATTAGCCCAAGTACTTTATCACTTCAAGGATTACATCAAGCATAGAAATAACACAAGACCAGCTGTCCGGTCATGGAACAATTTTCTATAGTCAGGCTCCCAGGCAAAATATTTCTTTCTTTACAATTATTCTTCGATAGATATTTACTTCTCCGAAGAATGATTTCAAATCTTAACCTTCCCGCAATTTCGGGTAATGTAATGCCCTCGAGAATGTTTGATAAATGTTATTGTGCTTTATGTTGATATAATCAATTTTTGTGTATAAAGGAATTTAAGTTGCTGAAAAACATGTCCATATTCAATACTTGAAACACGTTTGACATTTTGACATATGTTTTATGTGCATTGTAATACATAAGTGATGTGTTATTTATGGTTTAGTACCACTGTGGGAGTTTCCTGTGAGAATAGAGGTTGTTCAATGATTGATGTCTACGCCACCAAGCTGTCCTTCATATCAAAATGAGGATACCCATACTGGATTGTATTAGAACCCTAGTCTCGTACGGTGTTTGTCGTACCCTACCCATCTCCGCTTATGAACTCAGAGACAAAATCTGCAGCGTTTAATCACATTAGACATATTACACAGCAACAGAAATGAACTTCACATGTTACACCCACAGAACCGAACCAGGGTCTTCTGTGTGAGGAGCCAGAGCTATAACCACGGTGCTAACCTTCGTATGACAGGTGGTAGTGAATACCAGTGTTGAAATACACAACTGGTTTATTTCATGTTTCAAGTCCCATTTACAAAGCTGCCCACAATGTATTATCCACTATTCGCCATAGAACATGCACAATGCATCATGCCAGATGGACGTTGAACCAAACAGCAAATTTATTTTGATTTCTTTGTGAGAGGCATTTTAGAAGTAGTGAAGATGAATGAAAACTTAGTTCTATGGATAGTCAACTTCTTTATTGCAATGAGGGCGACCTTTCATCACTTGCTTGATAACGGTGTTAGTACCTACACCGAAACGTCGCACTCATTGCAATAAAGACGTTGACTATCCATAGAACTTAGTTTTCCTTCACATTTATTTAGGTTTACCAAAATCTTAGTAAGGTAATAATGAATATCTAACAAGAACTACAAATGATATCGAAATAATTACTAACACTACAGTAATTACTAGGCAACGGTACAAGAATGTGTTAACGCTATAAATCATGTAGATTTAGCAATGAGATTTCATAAATCATACAGAACTAATAAAAATAATGAAGTTTCGTGAAGTGAACCGTCTGATGTATCCAAGTAACAACGGCGATAATTAGCATCATCGTTCTGGGGAATGAGTTTGGTATAAAAATATCTAAGGGTGTTGTGTTGAGATTAACGACGCACTGGGCAGTATCTCTGCATCATGGCAGCTTGTCGGCTTTAGACGAGAGGAAATCCTACGTGATGAGAATGAGCACGGTCGTGCCGATGACAAATCTAGAAACATTATTAAGGTGAACGGGATTCGAACCCGCGATCATACGCTTCTGGCAAGTCATTGTCGTTTGATAGTGTAATTGTGTCCCTGTATTACCTGCAGATAACGTATGCCATTATCGATATGATCTCATTTGTTGATCGTAAACGTGTGTTCAAAATGTGAGATTGTGTGATTGTTCCAACCAGTAAATCGTATTAGATGGAATTGGAAGTTATAAAACCATCACATCCTTGAATTATAATAAACGATTTTTTCTGAAAATATATTTATTGCTTCTCATGAGAACACAATTGGTCATTGAATGATTTACATAAATTATGTATGTACACCGCTAAGTACTAGCCGCTGTCAACAAATAGCAACAACAGCCTGTTGTTTGTTTCACAACAGCGCGCTGAAATTGATCAAACAATCAATTAACTGATATTAACATCAGTCCTAATAAATTACGACGGAATACCTGATAAATTAAGGTTGTAACGCACTTTTAGCAAACATGGATTTGATTAGATCCTCGTACCAATGTCTAAGAACAAAACACAAATTATGCTTTGCCTCGAACTGGCGACATGTACACACACTGCACAATACACTTCTTTAAACGTCCTTAGCACGTCGAGGTTACAATTCATAATCAAACCCCGGATGTAATTCAGCTTTTCTGGTTAAGGTTATCGCCCCTTTTTTCTCGATCTCGCCTGAAGCACCGTTAACTTCTCGTTACATGACGTCACAGTTGATGTGACGTGTTAAACACTAAAGAAGTCCCTTGTATCGCGTAAGCAGAAGTCGTGAAGCGGTTGACCCTTATCTGGTAGTGCTGCTTTTGCGTCGTCACGTGACGTCAGAGCAATTGGATGCCCGGGGCAGAGGTCACCAGACAGCAAGTGTCTATCACAGAATCTGTCTTTTCAGAACTGGTGCTGGTTACTTCATGTTCTGGGAGATTCTGGAATGAAAACAAATTAAACATTAAGAACCAGATTTATTACAATTTCAAGTTTCAGCATAGATTAACGCGATATCCAAACAATATTGTTCAATCAAAACCATTTCTTCGATGTCCTTCAAATATATTTGCTACCTTATTACTGAAAAATTGTACTATGCCTTATATTAGGAACTCAATTTTAATTTATTCACGACCTTGAGAATACTGACCTTGTCTCCTCTCTGTTTTAAGGTTCAGAGCCTCGTATTCGTAGCTCCTTTGTTCTTTGAAATATGCAACAGTTTGTTGGTGGTTATCAAAGGGTGGTGTATCTGGCGGGGTGTCCAACGGTGGTCGGGGGTGTTGACCGTTTGGACTCTGCTTCTGGGGGGAAGGGGTCTTTTCAGGAGCGCTCTCGTAGAACTGGTACCTTGGCGACCCCGTTGATGTGGGGAACACAACTGACTTGCTACTTGACTGCTCGCTCAACAGATTTGAAGACAGTTCGTGATTACCTAGTCGTGATGACGTCACATCAACACGAGATGTGGAGTGTTCGTGCGAGTTTTCAGCGGTATCACTGTCGCTCTGAGACGATGTTTCCTTTGGCTCAAGAATATGGGAGATTGACCAGATTTTAGGTTTGGGAGCACTGCTGGTGCGATTTTGAACACAGATGTTTGCCGATTGGTTGTCACGTAGAACCGGGGGGTTGGGGAGGCTGTAGTCCTTTGGCACGTGCGTGTCGTGGTTTACGGTGGTGTGCATTGCACGTGGGTCGGGCTGGAGCCGTGCTGAAACGTGTGCGTTGTCTTCAGCATCAGAGATATCGGACAACTGTACTTCACTATCTTCATCTTCGGACTTCACCGATGGAGCACTGGCTTCGGTTTCTGAAACAAGAATACGAATATAAGAACGTGTGAACTTTCAAATCCTGGTTAACTGTGTACAGAACTATCTTAACCAATATCTGGATCATATCGCTGCCGTCCAAACATCCGGGCAACAGAAATGCAAGTGAAGCCATGCTTCATACAATATCAGCCAAACATAAACACACACCCGTTCTCAGCCCCCTGCAAAACGTGGGTAGAAGTGCTTGGCTATCGCACTATCTCCTGTCGTATCACTACACCCACGGCGGTGTCATATATGATTGACATGTTTGTGTTTCGGCGGCAAATATTTTGATCAATGCGTGCACACAATTTCACAAAACTTATCGCAGTACTAACTCGAGCGGCCAAACACGGCGATTTGGGAGAGGGCATGATTTTATCATAACACAGACACACTTATGTGTCATATTCGTGAACCAAGACTGGGAAGGGCTCTTGATAGCCACCATGTAACATATGTTAGTACCACAGATGCGATTAGGAAGATTCCTTTAACACCATAACAACTAATATTTCATAATTACAAAGTTTTCATTCCGCTAAGACATGTCAATGTCGATGACGAATGTATTCATTATGAGGAAATCAGCATATGCGCTGAAATGGTTATTATAAAATATCATGAACGATATGATTTCACAACAGTAACATAATGCAAGGTCATTCCTGTTGTCAGTTTAAATAAGATACGCTGTTTAATTCAATTAAATTAGTTACGCTATTCCATGAAATAAATATATTTCCACTAGAATTCAGGCTGCTTCATAGAAGACAGAATGACAGTGTGGTCAATATTGAAATCGACAGATGTACATTTCGTCAATGACAATCATCCCTTGCTGCGTTTAAAGGAAACCCCAATGTTTCCATGCAATTAGTTAGTAAAGGATGGTGTCAATTTCTAAGAATCGTTCAGCCGCGAAATACCCATGAAACTTTGATCAGATGGAATCCTTAATCCCATTTAATAAATTATCTACGTCAAGGAGTACCATATTTAATTTCAAGAGCACTTATTCATTTTAAATGACACACACTGGACTAAGGTTTCGATTTGGACTACAACTGCACACCAAGCCTATGAATTCATGTCAACATCCTTTCTGCATAGGGAGGATGCCACAATGGACTATAACAATACCTGAAATTCATCTTAAACGTTTTCAAACGGTGCGTGAAATTTATGGTTAATTCCGGAACAGTGCTGTTGTCGATCTTCCTAATAAACATCTCGAACAGAATGTTTAAATGATAGGTTGTTAATGGTTTTCAAAGAGTTCCCTTTCGCGCCTCTTAGAGTCTATTGTTGACAAGCATAAACGCATCACAAGCCATTACTATTTGTAATAAATCTTTTGAGGGACAAAACCGCAATGTTGTAAGCCTGCCTCCCCTGCTGTTAACGATATTAAAAACATATTACAAACTCTGGCATCCACTCGCGACAAACTTGGTCTTTGATGAAAGACACAAATGCACGCACCGAGAGGCGTTTAACCGAAACAGGACCAGTCAAAAGACTGAAATTAATTGTGGTTGAAGTGGAGTGTAAATCACAACTTTAATGTCACGTGAGTCGAATGTAAAGAATGTGAAGCGTATCTTTCGCTAGTCTTTACACGCGGTAAGATTATCAAAAATTGGTCCAAAGTCTTAAAACTTTAACCCAGTGTGCATAATAATCAGTTGTATCATCTGTCAAGAGATCGCCATGTCAGTTTCACGTAAAGCAGTGTCTATTTCACTATTCACTGCTGTGCCTCTCTAGCCCCAGTGGTGTTGATAGCACGTGTATTTCACGTGGTGCTGGTCAGTGTCTGAACAAATACTAATATTTACCCTGATCGACTAACATTCCCTCAAGTTATTTTATTCAAACAATACTGATCCTCTTTATCAGATGAGATAAACAGATTAAAGGATTATCGTTAGCGCATGAAGCGATAATCCAGTGCCGTATAAATGACACATGAGCATAGAACAATAGCCTGTTGTTCGCGTTGTTGCTATTATTCATGCTATTATTTCCCAATAATCTAGTTTAGACTGGCATGGGTCTATTGATTCAAGAATTTAAGCTGACAATGGACCAGCGATCTTACCATAACTGACAATGATTTGTTTGAAAACAGGGTCCTAAAGAAATTAGTCTAATCGAGACTAAATTAGATAGCTGATCACGACACATAATCCTGAGTCTTCTTTCTTAAACCCCGACGTTATGTGTTAAGGAAAGTTTCATATGAAATAGCACTTTCCCAAATGATTTATACTTTGTAATTACCTGATTTATCAGCTTGTGAATCTTTTTCGTTGAGATCATCTTTGTCATCCTCATCGTCGTCTCGGTCAGTGCCGTCCCAACACATCTTGTTCTCCTTCTTAAGGCGTCGTCTAGCGTTAGCAAACCATGTGGATACTTGTGTCATTGTCATTTTCGTGATGATAGCCAGCATGATTTTCTCCGCCTTGGTGGGATAGGGATTTTTCCTGTGTTCGTTCAGCCAAGCTTTAAGTGGACTTGTCGTTTCGCGAGTCGCTGCCTTCCTTCGTGCGGCGCTATTCAGGTCCAAGCCTGCGTAACTGAAAACGAAAGCCATAATGGAATTAGCCATCTTATTTCGCCATTTCATTACGAACCTGGCTGCACTTCCTTTTGAAGGCGAGGGCGTCAATGCGAGGCTGTATAATAGGGTTTCAGGCCTACTGGCCAGGCGAGAAACTTTCGTGTTGGCTTTTTAACCCCCACTTAATGCAACAATACCGAAATCAAGCGCTCGTTTCACTCAACATCGTTTAAATACAAGAGCGCTGTAAATGAAATTAATGAAATACAAGGACGATGGGAGAGAGCCCATCGGATGAAAGGACTCTGGGGGTCCCGGTGCATTGTGGGAAGAATGCAATCTCAATTCCAACCCCTAGCAAATAATATCGCTTTAATAGTTCCCCTAGAAACCATTTGCTGTTCTAAACGCACCCCATGAACCCCGAACAATCGTCGATTCCGTGTTTGGATTTTCTGCATAGATATGCTAAGCGACACCCACTCGTGTGAGGGGTCGGGACGTTAGTACTTACAAAGTGCTGTAGGGGTGAAGAGCAAGGGAAGGGTCGTAGTGGTGGGCGAGGGTAGGGGCGATCGCCTTCCAGGATTCTCTGTCGGGTCTGAGTCCGGTAGCACATGTCTGAAATAAACACCATAATTACTAAAATTGACCTCTAAATGCAAGTATCTCTTTAATTCGTTTCATGGTATATTAATGAAATATACACCACCTTATTTGAAATTGACACATACTAAAGCGTTGTTTGAAAATGCTAAGGCTGTGATATTGATGATGGAGTGTTGACATTCGAAAAAGCATATGTAGACATAGCCATGTATTTAAAAGGCGTTCACTCACAAATTGTATTAAATAAATATTCTAGAAATACCCATAACTGTATAACTTAAGCATATGACATACTTAACTCCCTTTAGATAAATACCTGTGTTTTAATACATTTGCAAACACATTGGATATAAGAATTTCCTCGGAATCGAATAAGTCAAATAAATATCGAATAAATTTAGATTGTGTAATTACAGGATATCCACACCAAAATTCGAAGCCTTAAGTTAACAGTCGAGAGACGGCCATGTCCTCTTAAAGCACTTTATCAAACTGTAATCTATAGCTGAATTAATCGACTTGAACAGATCCATCTGTGAATATCTTCTATTATCTGTTATCAATCCAGATTTATAATAGAAGTTTTATCGGCATCAAGGATCTCTGTAATCATCAGTAATTATATTTCCGGTTTTCAGGCTTATTTTGAATAGAATAATAAACAGCCGTTTTGTAAAATACCATCGATTTTGTCATTACATTGTATCACGTTATTCAATATCTGCCCATAGTGTAACAACTAGGACTGCTGAAATCGTAAACCCTCTACTGTCGTGTAAATAAAATTCAATATTAAACAGTTTGTCTTAAATTACTGACAACGGCGTGATGAGAGTTATGCATACGGAGCTCATACTGAATGCTGTGTTGAATCTGAGCGGCACATGATGTGTGAATGTGACCATTGTCGTGAGAAAACGGTCGTTAATTATTGAAAACGCAACAGACAAGCGTCTAAGCTGAAACCGATCACCTCATCGCCATAATTCATCCCACAGAAATAAAAGAGGACGTGAAAGTGAACGACTCAATTTCGAAATGAAGTATTATGCGAGAATGTAGTATTTGTTATTGTGTGTCCACGAATTGTACTTGCAGACAAAACGTCACTTCCATAAACCACAAATATCAGATAAAGTGTCATTAAAATCTTCTAATGAGCCCTCATTGCGATAAAATAGAACTAACACGTCGTTATCCTCCAGCAATGGGATGCACGTGTGTGCCGGCTACTTGAAATGGATAGGCAATTTAAATAATAATATAATTTCTGGAATCATGAACTGAGAGAAATCGGAACGCTGGAGTCTTTTTACCATGCTGTAGCCCGCATCGTACGACTTGTTCAATTAATAGCGATTAGTCTGTTCAGATAAAATTGTAACATATTTCCTGTCTGAAATGCCTAGTGGTTGTACTGGATTGGATGCATGACTTTCACGTGTCAATTAAAAGTGTTCATTTCACCGAGGCTTGATTTAACAGGCGTGTTTGAGGTCTAACCTGGAAGAAATTATTAAACATGTCGCGACATAGTTCCTTAGATAATTTAAACAATTTATTTGAAATTTAATATCGAAGTTTGTTTCAAATTTGAATTTTAAAAATCTTTTGACAGGGGTTATTTTAGTATGCATCAAAAGGAATTATTCATATCTTGGCTACATAACAACAGTGTTGCGATTATTAGGATACCGAATTTCATTGCTTTGGCTCGACAAAATGTCAATTTTTGCTAAATAAATACCTCAGCTGTCGTAAATAAATCAATTATGTATGTGAAACTGGATGAAACTGATTACAAAAAAAAGGGAATCGCGATCTTTGAATAGACTGATTGCGTCGGTGATTTTTTTGTTATCCACGCTCTTAAATTACTGGAAATTTAATTCATTCAAATGCATTTGTATTGGGACGATTGTGGCATTAATTATTCAGACATTGTCATCATGGAACAGATTGAACACGGCGATGTATCTGCGCGTGCTTTTACGCTTGAAATTAGATATGTTGATCTTGAATTTTTAATTCTTAAAATATCGATGACAAGACATAAAATGAAATGAAATTGCACAATTGATGAAAGCTGGTTAAAATAGGATCTCATATTTTTAAATAATTGTCCTTTGGGGTGTTGTATTTTGTGTGTGTGCAGAATCGTCACTTGAGTCAGGTTTATGTGTATGAAATCAACTTACCAAGGGGGATCTGAATGCTGAGGGTTCGCCTGACCCCGGGGAATGGCCTAGGGCACGGAGACCGTCTGGAGATCCAAGGCTGCCATGGTAGGAGAGACCCTCGGTGCCAATTTGGCAGAGACAAACAGCTTGACCTGTACAGGGATCGGTGACGAAGGGACGGCCATTCTCACACACTGGACCCGAGGGAGTCATTCTCGCTTGAGTGTGCTGTAAATATAAAGAAAAATTATTATATATATTAAATCGTATTCAAAATGTATTAACTCAGAGCTTTATTGTTCTTCTGTGATCTATTTCCGATGGTATTTTTTAAAACTGTGGCTCTTGTTATTGTAACTATAGGACTTGGGTTTGACGATGTGTAGTTTTAAACGCCGACATTAAATGCCAGGTTTATTCACGTGTTGAGCTTCCAGAGAATTATCTCATATACAGATTCAAACTGTTTAACAATTTATGGTATTAAAGATGTGATATTCAATGACATCATCAAGTAAACTTATTGTATGTATGTTCATATATATGTATATTTCTTTTTCAGCAATGTGTTTCAAGATATAGAATCAAATAGTTGAGCTGTTCGTGAATAGTTATGAAAATATTAGACTAGTGACTGAACATGCTATTCATAATATTTCATCCATAATTTGAATATCTAAACATTTAAACCACACAACAAAACGGCTACAGTGTTACAATACCTCCCAATGTGTATATGACGAAGAAAATCATATTCTCAACACGCAAAAAGCTTGTCAATAAGCAGTTCAGAATAGGTTAAACGGTTGATTCACATGTTAATTTCAAGCATGACATTAACCGACAAGTGTGACGGATAATTGATGGATATGTAGCAGTGAGATATTTACATAAACTGTACTTATCAGTGCTATTGACATCCGCATCAAAGGCAACTACGTGTACATATAGCCAGCAACTCACACGGGTCAACTTATTTCAATATACACAATTTCTAGTCAAATTTGATCATAAAGGCAAGGGTGTCAAGAACCAGGTGAAATTAACACTTAAATTTACAGGTGTTGTCATCATGACTGTATTATTCATTTCACGTTCTGGGATATATTTGAGTAGGAACATTACATTTAACCAGGTAAAACGTTTTATATGTATTATGCCAGAGGGAAATAAAATATCAAGAGAATAAATGTTTGATTACAAGCAGTAAAACTACCATTATATGATCAGAGTATCTCGTTCAGGTTACACTTGTCTTCAGATTTATGTTAGTTAATAAATCTGAGATTTAAAAAAGAAGGAAGAACTTTACCAGTAAACATGTGTTTTTTTCAAATGTTGTTTATTACCCAATCATAACATGATTCTGTCAGACATAAACATAGGTAAGGCTAAAAACGCGTCTTAACAAAATAACACGTGAATATGGGTAATATCAATCATAATAATGACTATCATAGCCGTATATATAAAAACTCAAAGAATGCACCTACCTGTGAAATGTTGGAGGTAGTATCAGTGATAGCGCTAGGGAACGCCGCAGCGAGGGTGAAGGGCGAACGGTACATCCTCAAATCGTATGACACACACAGTCCAATTCAAAGGTATGGTCCGAAATCGGAGCGATGTCCGATTGAATCAACAGTATACAAGTCAAATTTGTTCCAAAGTGGACAAAAATCGCCCGGTACAGCGCACGTTCAGTATTCCGCTAACATGAGATCTTGTATTTGCTTGGAGAGAAGACACTGAGCAATAGACGATGATCCCTCGGCAGGCCTGGGTAATAAGGCCACCCGATGACGCTGATTGGCCGAGCGCATACAATGACACGAGGCTCGTCACGCTGATTGGTTCAGGGTTGATAGCTGGCTCCGCCTATTATTTACAATACATCACTCTGTCTTTCCAACGCTAAAGCAAGGGAGGTTTCCGCAAATATGGGGAATTTTACACTTAGTGAGCAGATAAAACTCTCTCGTTTTGTTGTCACGGAGCTTGCCTGAGCGCCATTTTGCTGCATGCCAGAAAACTCACGCACATTTCTTGTAGCAAATTAAATTTGATTAGCGTATAGTGCCTCGTTCACACCAGTTTTTTGTAGCGTGTTTTGAAATATGTGTTGAAAAGTGTATTTAATCAGAACTATAATACTTATATATTCTTACATCACAAAACCGCAATTTTGAATCACTTATGTCGAAAATATGTTTAATGTTTTCAATATTAAAATGTGTGCATGTAATTTTTAATATTTAAAGATAAGGTCAGTATGTCATAAACATTGATCCAATTGTTCTTGTTTCAAAGTTGAAAAATGTAAAAGAGCTATTTAACAATGAAAACCCCTAACGTTGTCAGATTCGATCATTTCCGTAAAATGATTTCAAAATACATATTCTTGTCATATAAGGTTGTTCAATTTATTTTGTCGATAATTGCAATTAAGAAAGAAACAAGAATTAAACTGTTCTTATCATTTTCTTTATGATATGATACATAATTCGTCAAAATTGTTCCTATTTCGTAGCGTGTTTTTAGATATTCAACACAAAATTGAATCATGTCTCAACCGAATTATGCATTGAAAAATTATTATAATTTGTCATCTGAACGTATTTCTTCGAAACGTGCCAAAATGTTTCATTAGATGTATTTAAGAATTTAAAATGTTCATTTAAATGCAAAGTGTATGTGAATTCAATTACTACATGTTCGCGAGGGTTTTGCATTAATATTTAACAAGTCCGTGTTTATTACCACATCCAGTATTTTCCCGGGGATCGTGAAAGTGTTACAATATATCTACATCATGACTGGTGCCGTGTCTATTTCGCTTACTGAAACGGGCGACGTAAACAAGGCAGTGCCAAACAGCTACCATTGTCCATATCACTGACACTGATTACTGATCATTATAATTGTCCTCCCCTAAAGATCGATTCCCTTGCGCGCTCTAAAAGTCACATTGACGTCATAAAACGTAAACAATTACCACCATGTCAGCAATAATTGTTGAAAAAATAAAAACATTAGAAATCAGTGAACGGCTCTGTAATTGTCTGTGGCTACCGTGGCTACACGCCCGTGTCGACATGCAACACGCATTGGACGTACAGGTGTGAAATTGATCACAACTGACAATGCGTGATGTCCGTGGCATGTTTATTTCAGTAGTTAACTTGCTGATCACTATCGATTGCAGTAAAAACTAACGTTTTTAAATTGTTGATGGCACAAACTAGATGTGAATACCCGTCCTTCACTGACTGTTTTATTTCAATTGACAGTAATTAATCCTCCTGTTAACCGACCACTGATCGCTGACGTTGAAATTTAGAACCCGGCTGAGATTTTATGTAAATAGAGTGTCTTGGAAGTGTTACAAAGTTTGTTCAGTATTTGTTTTTTGTTTATGTTTGATTTTATGGATGTGTTGACAGTTTCATGTATACAGTGTCACAAAATTGTTATTTTTAAAACATATATTTACTTTAAACGATTAAACCATTAATGTGAGCTATATGTTTTGCAAATGGCATATGTCAGTGACACACGTGATCCAATTTGTTCAGCTACACGTGTATGAGATTTATTGATCTGAACGATTGAAACACCTTTCTGTTCGGAGATCTCATTTCAACGGTTTGAAATAGAACTTAGTCAAATATTAAATTAAAACTGAAGCAACGACACCGTGTAATAGTCTCATTGTGTAATATTGAACTTGATGTACATTAAGTTTTATATCTATGTTATTACATTTATTGCATTGTTTTTATAATACGTGGATTAAAAATATAAAATGCATAATTTGATGCAATTTCAATACTGATTCATTTCGTAATCTATATATCACAAACAGTTAAAGTGTTAAATGAGTCCGATGTGCCTTTATTTTACTACAATCGATGTTTAAACAGTTAATTACATTTCATAAAGCTTGAAACATCTCTCAAATGCCATGTTACGACAATACACTTCAGTGAGATATCAATGGATCATCAATATTTAGGGCTTTATTGCTGAAATAGAGTTTTCGATTTGCCAACACAGGGATAAATATTTAATCAGAAACACGAAAACAAGATTTCCCTTTGCAACGCACTGTAAGACCAACAGCCATACCCAGTCAAACAATATTTCAGACTTGAAGCCAGTTAAACTGGTTTAATTAGTTCAAATGAGATACTCGTCTTGTTTTGCGCCTGTGCTGTGTTAAATGAGTGATCCAAAATCTGCTCGTCATCCGCTTGTGAATGAAATCTACAACCCACCGGAAATTGACAAGTAATTAATGTGCACGTGCACGCCCGGCTATCATCAAGCGATGTAGGTTTCACGTGGTGCATGCTTTTAACCACGCGACAGAACGCTGAAAACGGGATTTGAATTCAAGTTGTTGATTTCTCGGCTTTCATTCATACATCTCGCACCTCAGCTTGGCATGAAGTCCTAAAGTTGTTGTGTAAAAACCTGATTTTCATGTAATGAAACAATTGAAACGTGGTAAGACATGACTGTGAAATAGCTACTGAGATCCCCGTGACGACTGATTATGCAAATGAGGACCTCAGTGTCGAAATCTGTGTCGGTTTTCTATTTCGCACGTAGACAGTTGACAGCACTTCCATCTAATCAAATATCTTCCGTTTCCATTGAAACGATTTTATTTTTTAAAAAACATTTTTTCATGTGAAAGTAGGAAACACAAACTAATTCATATATTGTGTTCTTTTTACTTTCGGTGATTTTAAATTCAACGAATCGTAATAAAATCCATTCCCTGAAATACTGTTTTTCAATATAAGGGGAAAAAATATAATGCTTGAAGATGTGTATATTATATATAGTAACAATATAACAATAATTTGAAACAAATCTAATTGGTTTTCTTTGCACTTGCGCAAGTACAATTATATAGCAGATTCCTGAGAGGTATTTGTCAAGGGGAACATCTGCTTTTAGCCGTTCCGATCGATGTTTGTTATAAAAAGTAATACTTTGATTATTATTGTTTACTTTAATTAATTGTCATTGTTAGAATATTAGTGGATGGTTGTTATGTAGCTACGTGTGCAATTATATATTCTTGAAATGTCCAATTCATTATTTTGAACAATAAGTCAAAATGAAAAATAAACGCTTTCAATTTTGAGGCACCTGCGCCTTTTGGTATGTATCTATGGTTTATTTGTGTTGATCTAGACACACGTCGTCCAAGTCATCCCTCATTACCTTTTATTGAAAACTTAAAAAGACATTAAAACTGAATGTATTGGAAATTAAAATCCGGTGAAAGTATTGCCTTCCTTAGACAATGTCAAAAATCGTAGCAGTAGCCTTTAACATTGTAAGTAGTAAACTTCCTTGTCATTTCACACAGCATTCACATTGCAGCAATCAACATGAAACTGACTAGACCCCACAGTAAACACTATCGTGTTCAAAGATGTATTTGACGTGCACATTGCAGATAAACTTGATGCATAGCCCTTGGTTTCAGTGATGTAGATAAACCCTTAAATCATATGCAGACAGATCAAATCTCGAGATTTCACGCGTTCAAAACCACACTTTCTCATTATTCAAACCATCCATTAATCTTGAACCAGGTGAAGGTTGTAGATTTCAGAGTATCAAATTAAACATTGTATCAACACATGTGCATATCTAGATTTAGATCAGGTTACCTGAACAATTTTTATACAAAAGTAATAAATTTCACAACCAACCCAAACAAATGACATTCACGTACCCGACCCTACCCTAGCCCCATCTGTCTGAAATTTTGACTCGCGCCTCGCTATAACTGACAACCTCCATACGCTAGGCTACCCGATACCGTTACGGTCTGAAATTTACAAGACGTCATCAATCAACGTGTTATCGACGAACTCATCGTAGTTGTTGTCGTTTCGTTGATGTTAGCAGACATCGCTCGCGTCGATTGCCCTCTATCAGATCATCTGCCGTGCTAAATATCCCTTGACTGCTGTGTCTTTGAAAACAAAACTTAAAAAACTTTCCGGAACTTTATTTCGAATATAGCAATAATTGGGCGGGATTTAAAACAGGATTGTGGTTGATTGATACCAAAGATCGGGTCGTTTATAACGAAAAATCGGTTACTATGTACAATGGTAAGATTTCGTGGTGTCGGATTTCTAATTGGTTTCTGGGGATACCTGATACTTTGTATTGTCAATGTCATCGTCAATTTAACATGAAATGTTTCGGGTTCAATCGCCTTGCAGAATTTCTGCCATTGTGTAGATTGCTCTTTAATTTACCTTTGATTATAAGGATAGTACGGCACTCATGAACATTAAACTGCTACCATTGTATCGATATTTTGAAAACTTGTTAAAAATATGGACTTTTCAATATTATTTGAATCATAATTTTATTAAACAAACAGTTTTCATTTGTTAACGTTGAAGAGTTTTCATAATTTATTTATACCCGTCGTTAAAATCTTTAGGTTTCACTCTGGATTTCTCTTTTCGCCTAATTAAAATTCAACACGTGTCCCTGTGTTTGAAGTAGTGTTTGCCGCTAAACATCGACAAAAACAACGATTCACGTGGCAGAACCACTAAAAGCGTCATTACTTCCGCCTAATCAAGTCAATGTTCGAGCAATAAAACAAAGGTATTCTCGAATATACCACACTTCAAACAAACATGGCCAGAGGTACAGTGCGACCTGAGAGATAACGCGTTATCAGCATGTCATTA